AGGGATTAGTCACAGTATTCCTGCTCTCCCAAGAAAAGGACAGATCGTGTCTACTATGCACTGGCCTGTGCCAGGGAAATTGCAGAGCTTTGCCTTCCTCAGAAGTGGAGCTGTGGAGGGTACGGAGCATAAATGTGAGAGGCAGAACAACTCTTCCATACTCCTCAGCATGGAGTGGCAGGGATATGTTAAAAATCAACATACGGGACTTTCTGCCTCTTCTATTTCCCCTGGGATTTTTTTTTCATGCAGCTTCAGTCTGTCTAAAAGAGAGTATTATAGTAAAACAATATCCCAACAATAACTTTAAAGAAGGACCAAACTTATGAGTGTATGTATATCTCGGCACTAGCTCACCAACCAACCATCCATCTCCCTATTGCTAGTGTGTCCTGCAGTTCGGTCTTCTTCCCAATCGTCTGTGGAGAACAAATGATGAGGAGGTAGAAGAGGTAAACAGAGACATCTGTTCATGCCCATTTCTAACCAACACAATCTCCTACTCAGTCACGGGGGAGAGTGTGGATTCTGACAGTGAGTCAGAGCCAAAGGGAGGTGGTGTGAGAGGTGGCTTTGGTTTGGTCTATGGAAGGAGGCAGCTGTGACTCAAACACTGCATACTGCTGAGCCGGAGCAATTTCTCTATTTTCCCTCCTAATTAAAGGGAGGGGAGGGGGTTCTCCCCAGCCAGTCTGCTGTGGCTGTGTGTTGTACACTGTGGCTCCAGTAAGCTAAATGCTCTACTACAGGGAGGCGGAAAGTGCTCAGAAAGAGCAAAGCTACAGAGTGCTTAAACTTAATTTTCTTCCTGTTCCTTCACCTCTTTCTCTTCTCCAACATTGTTCAGTTGTGGAAGATACAGAAGCCCTGATTTAGAAACTGAAAACAAAATTACCAACCTCAATCATAAGATTTGATAAAATACACATTATATGCAGTATCATGGTGAAGCTTCTACATATCTGTGAGACAGAGAAGTATTGATGGCAAAAGTTTGTGCGATATGTCAGTAAATGAGAACTCCACACAAGAATACAATGTGCACGTAACTAATTTACATTTCTAGGGGAATAGTTCATTGGATAACTCAACTTTCATTTGGTTAGGGTGGCAATGGGTAAATTTGCTACAAATCTACTCTTGTAAGCAGTGTACGTACAGCAGGAGAATATAACCAATGTACTGTGTAAAAAGAATTCACATTAGTGCCTCTTAAGAATTTGTCTATCACCTCTGAAAGCTCTAGTTTTGTTATGGTCCGCTAGGCTCTAAATACAAATATTTCCTAGAATCGTTCTAAAAATCACTCATTATTTTGCTCTTATTAGTGGCAGATGATTTACAAATGTATCTGAACAAACTGGCAGAAACCATTTGTTCCTGCTTCTAAGCTGACATGTTATTAAATAAATGTGTCACAAAACTATAGTTTACTTTACATAATTACTAGAAATAGAGCTTTTACCAGGATGTTAGTGGACTGATATGCTTTCATTTTAAAATTAGCTAGATAGCCTGGCATATGCAGGAAAAGTCACTCAGCACACAGAAAATTCCTCTTCTTTGTGTGGTGTAGATGAAGGTTTTCCTTAATATTTATCTGGTCTGTGATAGATGGCTTTGACAGAAAAGCTATCAGAGTGAAGGTTTCACCATGACACTACTCAACAGAGAGAAGGAGAATGAAGTGAAATATTACTCACAAACTAATATTCAAACAGTACGAGTTTCTACGCAATGCATTCCTTATTCTGCTCTGCTGAAATCAAAGTGAACTTTACTATTGGCTCAAACAGCACCTTTTCCCTTGAAGCACTCAGCACCGTGAAGGGTATAATCCTTTCAGTTCTGCATGTAAAATTCAGTATCAGCTACTTATGCAACAGAAACAGTATGAATGCCATGAATAATGAAATATTTTATGCTGAATCAGTTGTAACTTCTCTGAAAGCTTTTTGCTGCTTTCCGCTGGTCATTATGTGGAGGGATTCCAACTCTTTCATTCCACTCTGTCACTGCACCCTAGCCAACAGCAAGCATTGTTTCAATAAGCGTCCTAAGTCCCTCCCAATACTCAACCTGTTCAGTGACAACAGCCTGTGCCTCTGGCAGGTTGGGGCACACAAGGAGAGTTCAGCTGTTTGGGCAGCATTTGCTGGATGCTGACAACCAGCCCGTAGGTGCGTAAGTGGATACCACAGTTGGATCGAACTCACAAGCCACCCGTGTAACTGTGGTCCTGTGTCATATGATTACCTTATGCTTTCTGTACCAACAACGCTCGTCCATTCTTTTAATTGCAAAAATGATTTTGAAGCAGCTTTCAATCTTCAGAGGTCAGATAGGTTTTCTAGAAAGGTTTCTGAAAGCCTTTGAACAGGCTAGAAACATAGCATGAGGCTTTCACTCTACAGAAGAATTGCTCGCAGTACATGAAAATGCAACATTCATAGTTAAGAAAGTAAAGTGTGATAGAAGATAGCAGCATTTTGTCACCAGCAGGGCATATGATGCATTTCAGCTGAATGCACATTTTATATCAGTTTGTTACAGCCTCTTCTTAATGCTTCCAGAGCTATATTTTCTGAATATATATCTGTAAAAGGTAGGCAGTACTTTTCTTCCTCTTTCAGATATATGAATACATTGGTTTTGGCTTTCTGGGCTCTGTGTTACAGATTATATTTAGCATATTGAATATGTGTATTAAAACATGAACCTCCTCTTTCTTGCATTTGTAGGAGTGTGCATGTGTGTTTTTCTTGCACCACACTGCAGCTAGATCCTTTGTAACTTAAAGCTAAACCTAATAACATCATTCACTGCAGCAGCAAGATACTTTCCCCTAGAGTAGGATACAATGATGATGACATAATGCTGTGGTTTCCAAATCCCAAACCAGCTGTTACTGGTATATGCATTTAAATTCACTGTCTCTATGTCCATGTGAGCGGCACAAAAGCTTGTGATTTGATTCAGTAAATGATTTATTATTTTGAATGTATAATTCAGGGACATAGCTTACGCATGGCTTCAGCCACAGAGTGGGGAACAGTAATTTAGGCAGTTCCGTACTGTAGTAAACCAGAGAAAGGATATCATCCATCTGTGCAGACCCAGTAGGTATTTTCCACTGACTAGCATGGGATCTGCTCACTGATTTTGGACTGAGGGAACAACTAAAAGCTGCCAATTTTTTTGATTGTTTCTTCTCTCTGATGGACATTCATACTCATTCCTTTATCTGCTATAAACAAACACAGCTAGGCATCAATCTCCTAACCCAAACTGCACCAAGAAACACAATACCTATTCAAGTATTACTATGTATATTATGTTGTTACTTTTAGTTGAATAAAGGTGACAATGAAACTGCTGCCATTCTTATGGATACTGCAAGAAGCTAAGATTCTCCTGTGCTTGCTATTCTTGAATATTTGAGAATATTAGCTCAATAAATGAAGGTCAGCTTTGAAGTCATTTCTCAACAGCAAGTCTAAAAAAAGAATACCACAGAAGCAACTTGAGACCTATGAGAAAGCTTTTTCCACTACAGTGAGTTGCTTTGATGGAGTACAAAATCCATCTCTGCATAAATCACTCATTTGCAAGGCAGAGTCTGGAAACATCAGTTGATAGTCTTACTTTAAATCCAGACTAAATCAGACCTCTGAAATTCTTAACCTAATCCCTGCCCTCTGTACTATGTCATCACGGCAATTTGTTTCCAGGGTTACACTATTTATTTACTCAAAGTAAAGCCAATGTGAACAACTGCCCTGAATTTTAGCTGGACAAAAATGCATCCCTAGTGTAATTCCATTATCTGAATGGTCTTGCATCAGGGATGAATTTAGCCTATTAAGTTTTGGCACAACGCTATCAGTGAGGGCAATATCTTCTCAAGCCATATTATCTTCATTTGTAGAAATACACTGAAATCACTGTGCTTGTAATCAACCATTTTTTATGTGCACCTTTCTTTAAATGAACAGGCAGCCAGAGAAATAAAGAGCTGAACTGTAGCATAAATTGTCCAAATATTCCAAAATTCAAGGACTTCTCAAAGAAAATAAAGGGATAATCTTGGTCAGAGATATAAGGAATTCTTTAGAGAGGAAGTGCAATCACGCACTGAATGTGAATCATGATCCACTGGTAGCCAAGTAATTGATAATCAATCTGTACAGTTACAGCTGCATCAATCAATCATGTGTCTGCAGTGGCCCTTATCAAACAAGCCAGCAGAACTCATGAAAGATCATTGCCAGTCCTACCTCTGTGACTGGCTGATTTATTAAGCTGAGAAATTGCCCTGATGTAAACAAAAACTTTTCTGGCTAAGCCAGACCAAGAATACTTCAGAAAAATGAAAGAGTTGTGCAGAGATTATGCAGATAAACCCTTCGTCTGTAGCTCTGCTTGTTTAACTAGAAAGGCTATAAACATTTAATATAAAAAATTTGTAAAAGCCAGGAGAGGTGTGTGAGAAAACAAAACAAAGCAAAACAAAACAGCAAAACCAGGCTGTTAAAACATCCCTCTCCAGGAAATTATAACAATTTTGCAAAATCTGCATAGCCACAGACTCTAAAATGGAGCCAGAAATGAGTGCTTCAAAAACTACTCCTATGCCAAGATGCAACACTTTTCATAGATGAAAGGCATTTTACTTGGTAGAAGACCATAGCATTAGGTCCCGTCTACTCTAGCTACTTACACATAACAGATTAAAGGTGCTGAAGTGCTGGATTCTTTTTGGAAAATGCAGGTACCTTATCCACCTCAGTGTAACTGAGCAAAACACTAATCTTCCCCTCACATAAAGCCATTGAAATCAAATGTGAAAGTGGAATAATAAAGCACAGCTTTTAACATTTTGAATGAACAAGTCGAAAACAGGAGTCATAAGAGCAAAGAAGATGACAATATAATTATGACTGTTGGTAAAGTAAGAACATAGCATTAATAACACTGTTGCATAAAGGATGTACTCTCACCCAGATAGGAAACTCCTTCTTCTGGTGTGATTGTTCCATATTTAACCATCATCTTCACAAAATCTATCAGGGTTTTCATGATAGTTATCAAGGTCTCTTTCTCTTTTGCCTCCGTCTCTACATGAAGGGATAAAGCAAAATTAGTCAAAGACTTCAGGCAACTCAGAAAAATTCAGTTCTGCAAACTCTGCACAAACTTCATGCATAATAAATGACCTAGTCAGTAAAAAGAAAGTGCTGTGCTGGATTAGCAAAGAGAACTTATATACGTTTCCCTTTAAACTGCTCCTGCAAAGTACATCTGAATATACTTTAAAACTTCAGGGTTTGATTCTTCTTTATAACTTTTTGACTTGAAGGTCTATGTTATGGAAGGCAAATCGTATTAATTCCATTTTAGAGATAAGAACACTAAACACACTGAGATGAAGTGACTTGGTAGAGTTCAAATTGCTGGTTAGAGGGCAGATATAGGCAGAGTTTTCTACAGTCTCCATCTTTCTCTTGTATTTGTCTGTGAACAACTTAGTAGATCAGTCTGGCTCTGTATGAGGAAGATAGCTCAGAGATACTTTCTCCCACAAGATCCATGGGTTCAATGACAAAAATATGAAGTGACTCAAATGAGATCATTACCGTGCAGAAGACCATGACTCAGGTACTGGGAAAACATAGTATTACATGGTTGGGAGGATGATGACTCCAGAACAGGAAACGAACAATGATTTTTCATTATAAAAATCCATCTTTCTTGCCCGTATGTATCTCTGACTATATTCACAATCGCTGCTTCTTAGCTTTCTTTTTCCACTGTGTTTATCTGCTGAACAATATTACTGCTATTTCCGCATTAGCAGCATGAAACTCCCCCACCATGCAGTGACACAAGCTCTTCCCTGCACCCCAGGTTGTCACTGAAGGACCCAACAGAGCCAGGAGCACTGCCAGACAGGGACAGTCAGAAACATACTCCCCGCCTTGGCAGAGGACCAGTCCCTTTGGAGAGCTGCTGAACAGGTTTTTTATTGCTGCCTGCAATTTAACACGCAGCTGTAGGATGCAATTGAATCGCCTTTCCTCCAGCTTGATACAAGCCGGCAGGTGAACAGCATAAAGCAGGAGAGAAGGCAGAGATGTGCAGCCAATGGCCCAGTTCTATTTGCTTGATAACTTGTTAAACCCAACACGCCTTTCTGCTTTTTGAGTAGACAAAGCAGAAGAACTAGCATGCAAAACTACCACAGGATAATGAAAAAAACCAGGAAGAAGAATATGAGGTTTGTAGATTGGACTGGAGCAAAATGTGCCCTCAGGTTTTTCATTCTAGCTCTACACTGAGGTGTGTATGGGGACAGTCTGAAGCAAGATTAATACACCTGCAGGACAAAGGGATCTACAGCATAAATTGTTGCTAACTGTGCTGGACAGAGGATATGCTGGCTGCAGAGAGTGAAAGTGGGTGTATGGTAAAGTGTGATAACAAAGGGGCTGTGGCAAAGTGCCACAATTTTGCCTGCAATAACTGGAAGGCAATGATGTCTAGCACCGGAATAGGAAGAGATGTGCAGAGCTTTCATCGCAATAAACAGCAAACCTGTGGTTTGTGAAAAGGCTGGGAGGCTCAGACACATTTACTGGTACCATCACTGCGAGGATTCTACTGTGGCTTACTTGTACGTCTGTTGGCTTAGAAGACAAGGATGTTACTGGAAAGATCTCTGGAGAAAACAATTTGCCAGTTTTTCATCATGCTGTTACGGGAATGAAAAGAATTCAGGACTCCTGAATCATACAGCACAAATGGGAAGGGCTATCTAGGTCACACAGTTTGCAGTGCTGATGCCGTTCCTCCCAGTGTTTTACCATACTCACTGATCAAATTAGTTTCTGCTATGTATCTTAGAGAACATTTTTAAAGCACATGGCCTCTTGGAACTAGGGTTGCTGTGGGGAAGGAAAAGGACTAGGAGAAAACAGTGAGACTCTTAATTTTCTTTTTTTTTTTTCCCCCTAAATATTTCTGTAAACACATGATGAGCTCACCTGAGTTAAGACTTTTTAATAGTGCATAAAAGTTTGGAAAATATTGGAGATCTTCGAAATTATCTTCAGAAGGCAGCTCGTTTCTTCTTTCCAAGATATTAGATGATGACCATGTGTTATCCAGTGTATCATCCATTTCTCCATTAATGAAACTATCCTGATCAGCTTTGCTTGGTGTCTCCACAAAAGACATAAAAAATTAATATCTATAAGCACATTGCTTTTGGTGATAGAGTTAACAGAACAATAAATAGCATCATAATCTTATGCCAACATTTTCCTAATTTTCTCAAAGTTGTTTGATTTTGAGATCTGGCACAAACCTCAAAGTAAATAGTGATTTGTTTTTATATATCTGATGGAATTTCTTTAAGAACACCTTAACCTCAAAGTAAATAGTGATTTGTTTTTATATCTGATGGAATTTCTTTAAGAACATCTTTAGTTTCCAGATTGAACTAATTATTCCCTAGAGCAAAGCAGTGTATTGGTCTACTTGTACCCTTTGGCAAGTGAGTCAAAATGATTATCTAAGAAATTACCATTCTTTCCTGTTGCTTTTCTTTTGTATCACTGTCTGCTCTGCTTGGAGGGTAATCAAAATCTTCAGACTCCTTCTCACGATCCTTTGCTTCATTTGCAATTAGCTGTTGTAAAACCTCTGCCACTTCATCTTCCAGGGTATAGGCCTGACTCTCTGTGATCTGTTAAAATATTTGTGCACAGTACTTACAGAATATTGTGTTTTGCCTAGATTAAACATCAATATAAAACCTGAGCTTTGTAAACAGGTTGCTTCAAATATGTTTGCTTCAAAGCTGAGCACAGCCAAATTAGGTGTAATACCTTCACTGCATGTATACATACAGACATATATACATGTCCATATTTATATAAATGTATATATACACACATACAAACACACATCAAATATGTGTGTATACATAAAAACCGCTCATCCACACATATAGCCTCCAATAGGAAAACAAACCCATGTAGGGCTTAACGCAACAGAGTCCAGCTTGAAAGATGGAGCTGCAAGTGTGGTGTACATATATGTATATATGTGCGTGTGCATATGTATGTTCTGCAACATACCTATGTACAATTGAATAACTACAACAGAATACAGTAATACAGAAAGGGAAAAAGCAAATAGCTTTCTATGGCACCATCAAAATATTTTCTCTTTGCTTCATAACAGCTGTCACTTGAATGAGAACTTTACCATGCAGCTGTCCCACAGCTCCCTTTGTAATCAGTGGGATTCAGTGTGCAATATCTAATTGCAAAATCTAGTGCAGAAAAGATAAGGTTAGTATTTTAAAATATAAGGATCCCATAGTGCAATGACTAAAACCATCGAGACATTCAGAGGTCAGAGACAAACTCCGACTTGCTAAAAATCAGTAACAATGAGAAATGTATCTTTAACTAACCAGCATCGATATATGTCTGCTGATGACAATAATTAATAGGTGGATAGGACCTTTCCCCATAAACATCCAGAAGAAATTGATAATAGGAAAAAACCTCGATGACAATCAAAGGAGAAATTAAAGGAAAAATGAGGGCAGACACAGGAGGAGTACAATCAGTGAATGTTTTCTCAGCATCAGAAACATTCTGCAGTTTGGCCTATTTTGTTGCAAAACCATCACAGGAACAACAATGTTATTGCAGAACTAGACCAATATGCCCAAATGAGCCAAGAAGCTTGCCCAGAGCCTGAATCCCATTCATTTTCACTCAAGTCAGCGTTATTAGCTGGACACGATGTTCATCCAAACTGTTTTTTAAAAGAGCATTAAACCAACCCACAAAACAGCTAAATGAAGTATTAACAAGATACTTACCAGCCCCAGATTTAGAAGTTTTGAAACGATCTTGTCAAACACTCCTCTATCATTTTCCTCATAAATTCTTGCAGCAATTTTTTGAACAATGTCTTCAGCAGTCAAAGGAGTGCCATCTAATTGATGAAGACCATCTGGATCATCTAAAAGGATTACAGTTTCACTGTGTGCTGACTGTCCTAACTCATTTGGATTAGATATCTAGTAAAAAATATCTGCCCACATCTTTTTCGCTTCAGAACAAAGCAGCACTTTTTAGACACATTAGGAATAGACTTTGATACGCACTTTGGAATCCATTACATCAGTCCCAATGAAAAGTTTTCATGTCCATTTTCCACATCTGAAAAATGTCTTTCTGCCTGGCTCTTTTGGAAGAGCAGAAGTGAATGTCAGGAGTATACTCTCCTGTTTATAGAAAAACGTGTAAGAATGAGAGAACGCTGCTCACATATCCACTTACATGCATCTTGTTGGTATCTACTTTCATTGCACAGCCACTTAGAGCAAAACAGATCATGACAAACAGCATACTATCTTCTTGTTTGGATTTCAGGAAATGAAGTTTTAATTATGTAATCATTACTTATGGCAAATAATATCATCATGACCAATAGAAAAGTGAATATGATGAGTAAGCTTTGGTCTGTGATCAGCATACTTTGATATAATTAAAAATATCCTGAGCTAAACACTGCTTACAACTCTCAGAGGATTCACTTAAACTACAAGTCAATTAACTACTCCTGCAGTAAAGGCAAGTATTCTTTGGCCTTTCGTAACTTCTTTTAGCTTTGTGATGAGGAAAATTATCTAACATTCCACATAACATTTGGAACAAATATATGTGATTTAGCTCTATATAAAAGTGCTTCTTCCTTTCAAACCAGAATAAATATATTTTCATTTAAAAATATGTCCCATTTTCCTTCCATCAAATCTAAATTGCTAAAAAACCATAATGCAAATTACACAGTTGGATTTTCCTCCATGGAAGAAGATTGTGAAAATCAACAGCAATTCTTTTGTATTGTATTTCAAAATCCAATTGTAATACGACAAGCTTCCACAACTGGAAAAATTTGAAATTGCACTCCAGAAACAAATAGAGCTCATGTTTAGTGGTGAGTACAATATTCATGGTTGCAATCAGTTTGCAAGAGAAGTCTAACCTAAAAGTCACTGAAAAATGATTATAGAATACCTTGGAATTTATAATCCAGCCCACTTTTAGTGGAGTCATAGTCATCCACAAGCCTGCGGTTCTTGGTGGAGTCTGCATCATCAATGGCCAGTTGCTGTTCATACAAAGAGCTTCTAATTGACTCCCTCTCCTTTTCATTCCTCTCTCTTTCTGCTACTGATTTTAGCAGATTCAGGTCATCAACAAAGGAATAATTCCTGAACTCTGGCTTATTTTCTGGAAAATATATCAATGCACACATGACATAAAATCTTATACCTCTTTGAATATCATTATGAATATTGCTATAAAACCAGGAAAGATGTTTTACCTGTGGGAGCTGTTTTCCTATTCTTGTCTGCCTCAGCTTCAGCAATCTGATATACAAAACCAAAACAAACAAACAAAACAACAAACAGGCAGAAGGAATAAATACACTAAATGTGTGATTTCTTAATTTATCGATATCAGCAGAAGCCTTAATGCCTGATCTTCACTCTTAGTAAGAAGTTTGCCTTAATAAGTAGAACGTGATTAAGCGCTGGCACTTTTTGTCAGTACCACTGCATCCTCTGATCAGAACCAGACTTTACAAGAAGCTGCAATAGACTTTCTGTTTTAAGATAAACGCAAGTTACAGTTTCCTTCTTCAATCCAAGCTCCTGCTATATTCCCATAGGATGTCAAAACAAGGGAGGACACACCAGAGAGCTGTTGGAGCTAATGACCTGCTTTTGCAATGCTGGACAGTAAAACTCTATATGCCAGTTTTTAAAAATTATTGAAACACTATTTTGTACCCAACCCCATCAATATTGAATTTACTGACAAATCTATTTTTAATTCATTTGTTAAGCCATTAGGATATTCATGGATCTGGTAACTGAATGCTCAAAATACTGTGGGAATACCAAACCCAAAAAACATCATAAATATTTTTTATTTCACTTACCTGTTCCTCCAAAGGTCTTTCTACACTTAATTGTCTGTTGTGTATGGCTTTATCTAGAATAAACAAACACATACATATATACTCAGTTATATGATGCATGTGACTACAAAGAGACAGCACATTTTTTCTTATAGTTTTCTCCCATAGAACATGGTGTCTTAAATACGATGCCAACTGCTAGTTCTTGTAAAAAAATTTCAGTGTTCCTAGAAGAATGAGAATGCAATAAAAAAGTCAAACATTTAAACAAAGCATGATTGTTTGGGGCAGAGGGAGAGGTTCTGCAAAAGATGTAATAGAAATAGAGATACAGACTCAGTAAACCCTTTCTGATGAGAAAACTCATAAACAAACTGGGGAAGAAATGCTGGAAGAGATTGACTAAAATAGCAATAATCGGATTGGCACAACCAAGAGATTAAAAATCCCTTACATCCAGAATACCAGGGGAGACAGGGAGCGAGAGACACTTGTGCAGAAACTGCTGTAAAACGGATGAAAACACTGTTTGGAAAAGATTGAAAAAAAATCAGAGCTTTTCCCTCTATCAGCACCTACCTCTTCCTTTTAATACTAGATTGCAGCTTCAGTGATCCAGCGTCTTCCATTGGGAATATTGTTTCTTTAGGATCTAATTGCTTCTAGCCAAGTGGAACGAAAGTTCTTTGCTGTTCTGTATCTATACTCCGCAAAACTTTCCCAGCCTGGGAGAAAACGGAGCAAATGTGTTCACGAAGGCACTTACCTTTGCCCCCGGGTCTGGG